AATCATTTATAATGCGTAACTTATCGAGTGTACGAAATTAATACTGTAAGCATTATTATTTAAAATATCAGAGATTATTCTCTTCTGGTTCAAAGAGATTAAAAACACTCGGCTTAGTAACTCAGTATTGCATTCGGCGTCGGTGGTTACCGAGAGAACACGTGTTTTCAAAATCCAAGCGAATTAAATATAATTTCGATCGAACTTGACCTGGTAAGTTCCTTCAAACGTTTAATTACGTGTATTCACGTGAGGACAACGTTACGTCTGAATTTTAAACAAGATGTTAGGATAATAATCGAATTCTATGAAACCTAACGCATAACCTATAAACTTTGTATACATAATACACGTTGTTTTAAATCAGGGAAATTTGTTACAAAAATGGATGATACCGTTTATAATTTTATGAAACTGCGCAATAGACCTTATAGTCTTAATGATATCGTATCGAATCTGCATAATGAGCTTGGGAAATCAGCTGTGCAAAAGTCGTTAGACAAATTGGTGGAAAAAGGGAAGGTATTCGTGAAGGTAAATGGCATTAATGAATTAAGTTGAGAAGATAATAGTCGCTTGTTACACGACCTAAGTCGGAAGGCTTCTCTACTGTACAGGCCTATGGGAAACAAAAAATATATTGCCCGGTTCAAGACACGACACAGTCTATAGAAGAGTTGATGAGAATAGACAACGAGTTGCAGGCCCATGCGAACGAGCTTGAAAAGCAGTGCCAACAATTAGAATTAGAGATCAAGACGCAGGAGGGTTTATTGGAATCGATGAAGTCCAGCATCACGATTGATCAAGCTAGAGAACAAAAGCCTGCGCTCGAAAACCGTGTCCAAATACTGAGCAACAAGCTAGATAATTTAATGGACGCAAGTGACAACGAGGATTTACACAAAAAGAAAGAGGACCTAGGAAACGCGTTGAAAATGTATTCACGCGAGTATGCAAAACGGAAACGTTTATGCACCGATATCTTAGACTGCATATTAGATAATTATCCTGGTAGTAAAACCGAGGTGTTCGAAGAAATAGGAATAGAGTTCAGGAGCATTAACAAGTAACAGCAGTATTATCGTTTATCAGATTTTTAGTTTATCTCATACTTTATTCTTCGACGTACCTTATATCTGATATTTTAAGTACTAAATAATTATTCTGATAGTAAAACAGAGTTACTCCAATAGGAATAGAGTTCAAGAATGTTAAGTAACAGCAGTATTATCGTTGAGATTTTTAATTTATTTCATTTTTAATTCGTCGACGTGCCTTATACTTTAAGTGTAGAATTGTTCTGTCTTCCAATGTGCCGATTTAACAAGGCAAAAATGTTAATTAATTTCATATTTAATCAAATTCAATGTATTATACATCAAGCATAGAATGACTCTGTCATTATTTTTTATACTTGGAAGAGAAATAAATGAATGAATATTGTAATGCAATTTAATAAATGCGTTTAAAATCGTAATTGAATGAAAAATAATTTACGAGAAGAGACTTGGATCGAAATAGATACACCGTTCATTTCGGAAACAGCGCGTTTGATATCGGATCGAGGTAGTAGGGAGAGTGTTATACAATTGACGTATACGCTGTAACAGTTGAGCCCGGAATTGTTAAAGTTAGTTGGGACGTGAGCATAAAATAAATCTCGAAGGGAATACGAAGTATATTTGACGTGGGCTGTTATTCATCTCTTTTCAGAAGCGAATATTTTTAATATTAAAATACATTTCGATGGAGGAATATTCATCCGACGAGGGACCGGCGTCGATTGCCTTTTCCCAGGCAAAGATAGAAGCGATGCAATCGTTGAAACACGCGGCGGATAGCGCGAAGTCGACCAAGGATTTGAAGAAAAAGAAGCAGCAGGAACATTTGCGGAAAATGAAGACGCAAAGGGAAATGAAATTGAAGGTTAAGAAACTGCCGGACGAGGTGGTGAACCAGTTATCGACCGTCCCGAGTAGAACCAGAAGAACAATGCCCGAAGGCCAACCAAAGACGAAGAAGCTGTCGGCAGAAAAGCTTCCGAAAACGAAGAAAAGTAGGAAGCCCAGCGTGGAGGATTTCAGCGTGCCCAATACTGAGGGATGCACCACGAGATTTCAAGTTATGGATTTGAAGAAATTGAAAGAGGAGAAACACCACGAAGAGCGATTGTCCTCGTTCCGACAGAAAATGTTAGCTAGGAACCCCAGACAGCCTGTCTCCTCTTATTTAATGTGCTTGAGAAAGAGAAAAGCCTCGGGCAAAGAGAAGTTCAATTCATAATCGAACTTGATTCGAGTTTTTCATAAATATGTCTATGCCATCAAATATATAAAATGGATTGTACAAGTATCTTAAGGAACTTACTAGGCTTCGAACTGACCAATTGAATTCGCTTACTCGGCCGAGGAAAGGAAAATAAAACGTTCTATCATATAATCACCATTTATTTGTGTTTCACTACAATTTTCATGATTTAGGCGAAGCTCATTTAAGCGCGCGTTCACGCTAAAATACGGGTCGACACGCGCGTACTATAATAAAATCGTAACACAAAAGTCTGCCGCGCATCGAATAAATATTTATCAGATAGATAGATCGATCGATCGATCGGGACTTGTCCGTACTGGACAGTCCGATTCGTTTTTGTTAACACTCGCCGTCTGTACAAAGCTGCTGCGGTACTACAGTAAAACAAGAAAGAATAGAAAAGAGAGGAGAGAGAACGAAGTTATATTTTGGGTAACACAGTGAAAGTTACGTAGCTACTTAATTAACAGAATTATTACTCGACCTCGCGAGACTGTCTTTTCCCTTTATTATTTTTTTCTTAATAAGAACTCTTTCGAGACGCGCCTCGGTGACACCGCGTGCACGATTCACCTAGTCCTGATTCCTCGATGGTGAACAAGATAATTGTTTCAGTTTTTTTTTTTGTTTGCTCGTCGAGCTGAACGCGTGCTGAGTGCGCGTCGGGTGTATCGATGTCCGATGGTAGTCTGATTGCCACGCGAACTTCGATTAGCGAATCGTAAGAACCGGTCGAACGCTGCTGCTACTTCAAACTGTGCAGATAGTCTTCAGGGACGCGCAGCATCGGTTTTTCACAGATTGCAAATGGCACAGCCATGTTCTCAGCCTGTCGATCAGCTCCGCGCAATCTGATCCCACGTCCGTGCACTCATCGTCCTCTGGTCCTGCAACAAACTAGGAAATCAGGGACCGCCGAAACAGGGTCGGACTTGAGAGAAAAATTAATGTGTTACGTTCGTAAAACAAAGAATTAATTCACTATTTCTGTGAAAAAAAAGAAGAGACGACCAGAGACCCAAAATACCTTCTATGGACGATTACGACTTGTTTCATGAAGAGAGAGAGAGAAGAAGAAAAGAGAAGAATGAAGAAGATCACCGATAAGATGTACAGATAAATGAGAGATATTCACTGTCCCACTAGTGAATTGCTCGGGTCAGAAACGATGAGAAACATCCGAAGATGAAAGATGCAACGTGTCACCATCTGAATTACTCCATGGCGTTTAAATGGCTCATTTCCATTAATAATGATTTAAAAAAAGACGACGAAGATTAATGAAAAAGGAATAGCAGAACGTAGAAGAACGTCGATAATAAAAATACCAAGAGATTGAAAGGAAGCAACAGAGAAGACGGAAGATCGTTCCATCCAAGAGAAATAAGAGATAGGATAAAAATCGATGACGTCGGACGATCCGATGAACTTAGAGAAGATTCTTTTGATTCAGATAAAAAAAGGTAGAATCGTTGGGTTGTTGATACAGATTTCTCTTACCGCGAGCATCGGTCTGAGGCCCGTCTCGATCTCCTTCGGCTGTTGTCGAGTACGACACCGTGCTCATCGTGTTCTTATGTTTGAACGGGATTATTTTCGGATAGTTCAGGTCGTTCGTGACCATCGTCTTGGGGCTAATCGTATAATACGAGTAATTGGCATACTTCCTGGTGCTCGTACCACCGCCGCCAGCGTATCCGTTCTTACTATAACTAGCGTCGTTACTACCGTTTACTTTAGTCTTGTGTTTATTCGCGTACGGATAACTGGCGGTGGTGTACGCGCGTTTAGTCGCCGGGGTCGTCGCGGACAACGGTGTCACGCGTTTGGGAGTAGGGTTGCTCGTCGACGAGAATGGATTCGACGACGGCGAGTATTTGAATTTCGATTGTGGCGTGCTGTGTGTCGTCGTTTCCCACGGATACCTGCGTGAGACAGTAGACAGAGCATTATCGAAATGGAACTTTGAAAACAATGACTCTGCTCGGTTCGCTGTTCGATGCTCGGATCGTAATTTACTGAGTGTGACTTATTCTTTTTTTAATAATATGTGACAGGGCGGTATTAAAATCAATTTCACGGTTACCTGTATTCCGTACTGTTGTACTGGCCGTACAGGGGCCGATTGTGAGCTGGACTAAAACTGCCGTCCCGGCGTACGTACGTTGGGATGTTCTGCGTGTAATCCGGTATTATGTTCTCGTGCTCCGCCACGCATTTCCCGTTCAGGCAATACTGAAAGTTTAAAAAAATCACGATTTCGTGTAAAATCAAATCGTCCATCTAATTTCCTTAATTAACATCGCGATTTGCATGAGCCACGTCGAATGATTTACCTGGCCATCGCCGCAGGGCGAACCCTCGGCCGCTGGACGGTACGCCACGCAGTATCCCGATCCAGCGTCGAAACAAAATAGCTGAGCACAGACTCTATCGTCTTTCTGAAACGTCAATCGATCGTGCTATTCTCTGTGCATTGCTTATTTAGAAAATTTTATTGATATTAATGACTCACGAAGCAAGCGCTTGTCCCTCGATCTTTTCGACACTGGGCATCCAACGAAAGCAATTTCCCGGGTAGAACTCTGGGCAGAGCTTCGTCTTCGTGAGGTGCGTTGTACAAACACGTCGCTGTATCTCCACTGAAACACGTATTTTTACCTCGTATACGATATTCGTTTTATTTAATCTCGAGAGTCGATTTTGATTAAAATAATAGTACTTCAAGAAATGATGGAACGACGAGACACTGCAATGAGACCATTTAAAGCCCTTCTCGGTGTGCCTGAGATCGCTCATGATGTATCCATCGTTCCAGCGACACTTCTCGGCTCCAGGGCCTCCGAGGTAGCTGGGCGGTGGTGAACCATCGTGAACTGCACCCAGCCTTTGACATACACATTTCCAAATCATTTCCCTCGTCGTTAAATAAACGTGAATTAGTACGATGATAGACTTACAAGTGGCCTACTTCATGAGCCGCGACGATGATTCCGCTGAATCCCCCGGTGTCCTCGATTATAGCGACGGAATTCACTTTTTCCAAACGCTTGTTCACGACGCAGGCTCCACCCACGTACGCGAATCCTGGATGAAAATTGTCAAATAATTTCGAAACATTTTCATCGTTCCGCGGACAGTATTAAGGATGTACAGGCTATGCATGTTGAATTTGTTATTATAGGTTCTTATTGCTATTAAAAATCTAAAATTATAGTGATTTCATATTTTTCATAGGTAATAGTATC